GTCCATTGAAGTAGAACAGATGTTTTTGAACGTGGAATTAGATTTAATTCTAAAGGTGTTTTAGGTGGTTGACGATCATCATCTTAATTCAAAAATATATTGAAAGTTATTTATTCTTAAAAAAAATTACCTTCGGATGGCATTTGAAAATCATAAAATTGTTCAGGAATAACTGTATCATTATTTTCATTGAGTGCAATTAATGAAAAAATATATTTTTGATTTGGTTCTAAATATAAGAAATTTTTTCAATAGGTTCATGAAAATAATATTGAATATTTATTTACCAAGTTTATCAATAATTAGAGAAGTTTGATTTTTATTTATATTAATTGTATGTTGATATGGAAAATTAATTCCATATTGTAAACGAAAACGTTTTATTGTTTCATCATTTATTGTTGCTGGATGAAGTGTCATGACAATTGAATGACTTGTTGCATTCATTTCAATTTTAGGTAAACGATCACGAACAGATGGATCACTTCGACTGGATAAAACATGTCCGGTTGTAGTTGATGCGATTGCATTTAATGCTAATATCGCAATAAATGATATAAAAACTAATATTTTAACCGTCGCCATCCATACAATGACGGTTTTTGATTATCTGAAATGAAAGATATTTTGAATAGGGTGTGAAAGATGTTTTATTTGATCACAGCAGTAATAATAATAATAAAAAAAAACAAAAGAAAAGAAAAAGATAGGCGAATAACAACAATTTCTGGATTTTTAGAACGTCATGTTCATTAAAGAAAATTTTTTTGAATATTGTTTATTCTTTTTCGGCAATTCGTGTTAAATGTTGTTCAACTTCACTTTCTGTTAAGACTCTAAAAAATGATAATTGAAAAAATAAAATGATGTAAATTTCTTCATATAGAAAAAAAACAAACAAACCGAAATTTAATATTATCTTTCGTAACAACACCAATTTCAATTTCATTTGGTTTTAAATCAGTTGAAAGTACACTTGCTAATGTTGAAATAGCCAACTAGAAAAATATATTATCAATAACTTTTTCGAAGAAAGTTTGTTTTACTTCAATAGCTTCATCAAATGTTAAATCTGATTTTTTCTTTATACGTTTTTCTAAGAAATTATTTGCTTCAGTTTGTTTTACACCAGCACTGGTAGCACGAAATCCACAAAAGTATCCAGCTGGATCAGTTTTATAGAGCATTGGACCTTTTTCTTCGTCCATACCAAATAAAATCATACCTGAAAATAACAATATATAAAGAAAAGAAATCATTTGAAATTATCTTACAGCAACCAAGTGGTCTCATTTCAGCTTCTTGTGTATAAACTTGTGAAATATCAGCTACACGACGACACATAGCATCAACTGGAATATCATAACCGTATTTATACTTCCATGAAGCTGCTTCATAACGAGCTCGTTGTACTTGCCATCGTGAATCAGCTACAATATTTAAGAATTATAGCAATCCGATATTTATATATATATATATAATACATACCAACCATGCCAGTCATTAAACATCCAACAGTTGGTGTGATTGCATGTAAATGAGTCACGGACGATGGATCAAGTAATTTGTCCTAATCAATTAAAATATTCATCATAAATGTGTCAAACTATTAATATCGGGTCTATCAAAAGTGAAAATGTATTTATACTGAATTTGACGAGCTTCATTGCATACATATATATTCGTCGATCAATGTTCACTATAGTACTTATACTTATCGATACGACAATGAAAAAGAGAGAACCTAGAAGCATTTTTTCCTTTTTAGATGAGAACTTGTACTCATTCCCTGCTTTTTTTACTGTTAAATATCGATAAAAGCGTTTATTTCGACAAAATTGATGTCATAATGTATAACTGAATACTAATGTACACCAATATATATTTCTATGGTCAGTAAAAAAAAGTGTGAACATACGAGTGAATTGTCCGTTAATAGAGAAAAAGTTAATCTATGACAATTAGAACTAATAAACAAATTGACATTAGTATCGATTGTGACAGTTATCATTCTTCACCCTATCATAGCAAATTCAATCAATAGTTTCTTTCTATTAGAAATAGTACAATTAATTCATTTTATCGTGCATGCGTGTGACATAATAAATATGTCAATCACTTCTTTTTCTATGATTTACTTCTTATTGAATTTGTAATTAAAAAAAATATTTATTAAAACTAATTATCATATGAAAAAAACCTTCATTCTCACTCTATTTCTAGGAAAAAAATGTCTCCTGAGACAGTTCGATCTGTTCAGTCCCATTGCATGGTATTTAATACAAAAATTAGTCGTTCCATTTTATTTCATGCAGCTTACGAAATGTCTCATGAGACATACAGAATTTATCAAAATGATCTTTTATGTTTTCAAAAAACTAACCGGAATTTTTTTTTGTGCAATAGCAATGACACAATCATTGCCACGTACAGCTACTGTTGTTAAACCACCTTGATTAATTGCTTTAAAAGCATATTCTATAATATAATATATTTAATAAAACAATTCATTTATTATTTTTTTTTTATTAAATTACGAACCAACTTGATAGAGTCGACCTTCTGGTGAGAAAATTGTAATATCACGATCGAAACCGGCTGAAGCTGTTCGACTCATATTTTTAAATAAAAATTTATAATATTTGTTTCAATCTAGAAGTATATATTTATACATACATAAAACAAAAGAAAAAATGTCTTTAGTAATTGTCTGTGTCATCATAATTAACAACACGTCGTTTGTTTTCATTAGAATTAGTATGTACAAATTTAGGGGTAGAAGTTGGACTAACAAATGAAACTGATTGAAATGGATTTGTTTGATTTGATGTTGATGGTGATCCGGATGATATATTTGGTGTTAAACCTATTTTTTTAATAATAGGTCCTTGTCCAGTATTCGATGATGCACGTTTAAATCCTTGATCTTTGCCTTGTGCTTGTACTTTAATTGCACCACTTTGTACAAGTTTTTTAGCTGCTTCTTTCGCTTGTTCAGGATTTCTTATAGAATCTTTTTGATGTCGTGATAAATCATTAGTACTTGTGACATTTGTTGTTATTCCTCCAATTGTATTTGTTAAACGTTTATTTGCTGATTTATTTTGTGCAATTTCTTTTCTACGTTTTTTATATTCATTAAATTCTGTTACACATGCTTCTTCAGTTGATGATAATGTTGATGGTAATACAAAACGACAAAGAGTAGACATTTAGATACTATGATTGAGCAAGTAATTGATCAACGACGACGACCGATTAATTGTATATATATACATGAGTTAACCAATAAACGGAGAAGCTACCATTGTTCAAGTTGTTTTTTTAATCAAAGAGAATTATAAAGATGTCGGTAGTAAAATTAAATTTAAGAAAAGTATATTCATTTTAATAACTATTTTTCGTATTTAAACTGATTTTTAGTATTATTTTAAAGAAAATAAATTTAAGGCGTGCGTTGATTTATATTTGATTGGTTATGGAAAAAAAGTATGCGTGTTCGTTGGTAAAATCCTGAGTATCTTCGTTGCAACTTTTAATTGCTACAAAATTTTTATCGTATTAGGTTTAACAATGAATATAATTCGTTTTTTTTCATTTTTAACTATTTTCGGCTTACTCTTTTTATCCACAACAGGTAAATTAAAAAATAAAAGCAATGAATTCTATCTTAAAAATGATTAACATAAATTTTATATTCAGTTGTCTACGGTTCCGAAGATCAACTTGACAATGATGTTGAAGTAGATGATGAGGACGAATCTGTGTTACGTACAGATGAAACTATAATACCTTCGGCTGATATTCTTGTAAGAAAAAATAATTAAATAAGATTTGTTTTTATCAAATTATATTCAGGAAGGAAAAGAAGATGAAGATCCAAATCGCATTCCATCATCACCAGATTTTCGTACTGTTAATGTATTTATTCAACCAGCAACATCAACCAATGGTTAGTTTTTTGTTTAATTAAATTTAAAAATTCAATTAACTAATTGTATGTATCTAGAATTAGTTGCGGGTAAATTAACTCGATTACTTGTTGGTACACGTAATAATGGAACCCAAAATTTTGTTGTTGAATCTATTGATGGTTCATTACGTTATCCACAAGATTTTACTTATTATATTCAAAATTTTACTTCATTACGATCGGAAAAAGTTCTTGAACCAGGTCTAGAAGCTACATTCGAATATTTATTTATGCCAAGTGAAACATTTAATGGACGACCAATGGGTTTAGTTGTTTTAATTAATTATCGAAATAATGTATGAAGAAAATTATCTTTAATCTAGTTTTTTATTGATTTTGTTTTGTTTAGGAAGGAAAACATTTTCAAAATGTTGTTTTTAATCAAACAATTAATTTAACTGATGCTGAAGAAGGATTTGATGGAGAAACGTAAGAATTTCAAAGTTGCATATTTTCGAAGGAAAAAATAATAAATTTAATTCTTTAGATTCTTTCTCTACATATTTCTTGCTGCAATTTTCGTTCTTGCCGGATTTTTAGTCTATCAATATTTACTTTCACATCGTGTTAAACGTATAAGTGGTAAACAAGGTTCACAAAATTTTCTTGGTAATCAACAAACTAAAGGCAGTTATGATCCTGATTGGATTCCAAAACATCATCTTGCTCAAAGTAAATAACAAATAGGAATATATAGAAAAATTTCACTATAATTTATTCTCTATTTAGATCGTTCACCAAAGAAAAGTCTAAATCAACGCAAATCTCGTCAATCAAATAATGATGCCAATGGAACAAATGGTACAGGAGCTGTATCAAGCGAAAATGATGAATAAATATATATCCATATATACATATATATATATGTGCGTGTGTGTGTGTGTGTGTTTATATGAAAAAAAAAAACTAAACGTGTTTTGTTTTGTTTTTAGTTCTATTTATTTTTTTTTCTTGTTCGTTTTTATTGATATGAGAGATAAAACAAAGACAAAAGTTGATATCTTATTATTGTATTTCTATAATTATTGTTAAGAATAGAAGAAAAGTAACCTATAAAGAACAGAAAAATACTCGACGGTGGCTTATTTATTGTTTTGTTTTCTTCTTTTTTTTTCTTTGTGTTATTACTGTTGTTTGTAGTCGTTGATTCTTTTTATTTTTATGCTTTCTCATAACAAATAAACTATTTTAAACACATAATATCAGTGCATTATTCTTATCTATATTCTTTTTATAGAAAAAGTAATTTAGTATGATAGTAATCGTTGAACATACATGTAAATTCTATGCGTCAGTATTTATTTGCATTTAAATCTAATTTGATCAAACGAAAAGTATGTGTACGAAAAGAATTTTAAATTCTTATTATAATGAATTATTTTTAGATGGCGTCGTTGGCCAATACAGTAGTTGATATAGCAGTTGAATCAACATCTAATAGAATTAACCCAGCTGCAGTTATTCCATCCTCAATGGCACCATTTGTTGAGAATGAAAAAATAAATTTAAAACAAATTGCAAGTAATTTTGTACCACGATATTTTGAATTTCGAACAAAAGATCGAGATAAAAAATTGAATGTGGTTCAACTTATGTCAGAATATGATGGTAATTTTTCTACACCTGTTTGTTATCTGTAAGAAATATTTAATTTATATTTATTTGTATCTATGTATCTATCTATTCATTAGTCGATTTTATCTACAGCGTGCAGGAAAATTTATTCAATTTGCTGAAGAATTAGGAACAGTTCGTGATATGTCAGATTTAAAATCATAAATATTATCTATTCGATTATTTTTAGTTAAGCGGTCCGGAAGAAATTAATCGATTGAATTGTATGCGTATTTATAAAGATTTTATTCAACGTTATACCGACCTAATTGGAGCTATTCAAACTCATGAAAATCAATGTGATGGTAAAATTTGATCTTTTTCTATTGACATTTCGAATATATATGATTTTAGGACGTTTATTTCGACGTTCTATTGAACGAATGCAACCTGAAATTGCACATGTACCAATGAATTTACATTTACAACAATTATTAATCAGCAATAGTGATGATCCTTCACAGAGTATGAAATTAAAAAGAACTTTTATTTACTGATTAACTCTATTTTAGAATCAATTTATAATACGGTTACATTAGGTGCACCAGCTGTACATCATTCTCGTTTTACTCATGGTGGACTTGCACGAATGAAAGCTAACATCCTTGAAAAAAATAAACGTTTATGTGATTTACAAGAAAAATTACAAGAAGTTCTTATTCTTAATAGTGATATTGATGATGCACTTGATCATTTAACACAAATTCTTGAAAGTCCATCAACAAATATTGAACGTTCTGTACTTAAATTATCTCTTGAAAGAGTTGTTAAAGCTGTAAGTTGGTTAATACAGTCCCACTGATAAGTAAATAAACTATATATTTATTCATAGGTCTTCTCTTTACTGGAATACTCAAGCAAAGATCTTGATTCAATATCTAATTCTGCAGGACAAATGATTGTTAATCCATTATTACCAAAAGTACCTGCTCAAGAAGTATCTGAAACACATGTATGCATACAAATAATTTATTTTATAAATAAGAAAATTATCTTGTCTTTCTCTTAGGATAATATACGTGACAAAGCAAAAAGACTTTTAGACGAGATTAAATTGTCTTTAAATAAAGATGAACAAACATTTGATACACCACAATTAAATAATTTAAAATCAATTGCTGAAGAACTTGAACGTGATACATGTAAACATATTATTCGATATATATTTCAAGAGAGTATGGAAATTGAACGTTATCCTCAAGTTTATCGTGAACGCTTTGATATTGCATTTTCTCAAGCAGTAATTACAATAATAAAATAATTGTTTTTTTCATTCTTTCTTTCTTATTTTTCTAGTTAACTTGTCTTATATTCTCTATTTATGTTCTTCTATCGTCTGTTAAAATTAGTGATCAAGCATGGAAACTTTACATTAATAATGGTAAGTAAATACGCGTACGAGAACGAGAGGAAAGACTAGAAGTGTATTATTTTTTCTTAATGCATTTAACAACGAAAAATCAATCGTTTTTTAATATTTTTTAATTTAACATTTTGTATTCTTACAAAAATACATATAATTTAAATTATGATTCCTGTTTTACGTTCGATTGATAGTCTTCTTAATCGTTTTGATGAGTTATCACAACGTCATACGACTTTGGTATCTAATTTTGATAAAAATTTTACTAATATTGAAAATCCATTACGAGATGTTACACGTAACGAAGAAGAACGAAAGAAAACAACTGAAAGTATACTTAAATCAACGATGAAAATAGATGATCAAATCAAATCATATGAAAATTTAACACAATTTAATCGACATATAATAAAAAGTCGATGTCATAATCGACCACCAAGTTATTCTTCATACGAGAGTCCTTCATTTATTCTTCGTACTCCATCGAGAGGTTCTTTAGAATCAATTTTATCACCATCTACAGAAAAATTACCATCAATACAGACAACAACCAGAGCAAATACGTCTCAATCAGTTGCAACAACTCCAACTAATAATCATATTAAAAAAAACATTCAATTAACAACGAAGATAAAACCAAAAGTTCCACCTGCTACACAATGGCATACACGTACTCCAATAACAATGTTTTCTATGGAAACTGCTAATCGACTTTCAAAACCTAGGAAATATTATCAAACAACTAATCCAATAACACTATCAAAACATGTTTATCGACGATCAATCCCAAAATCACCTGAAATAAAACGAACAAATCCAATAACAATAAAATTAATTTCGAAAAAGCTTAAACCAGAGTATAACTGTTCAATAGATAAATCAAAAAACATTTCTATCAACAATGAATCTCGACCAGTTCGTTCTCTAACATCACCAAAAACAATACGTTTAGCTTTTCCTGTAAAATTAGAATTAAATCCATCTCCGATTGTTGTTACACCAAAAGCAACATCAACACAGAAAACACTTAATATTTTTACTAATAGAAAATCACTAATTTCTTCCAATCGAATGAAATATTTAATGACATAAATATATTTTTTCTATCAAAAATTTGAAATCTTTCCCTTTTTGCTTTATTCATTATAGGAATGTTAATCTCGTTCGAATATCTTCTTACATGTGATGCTGATGAATTAGGAATGTTGGAAGATTCTGTTGAAGCAATTCATGCATTAGAACATGTTCAAGTACGTTTTGTTCCTGCGACTACAACTAATTCTTTACTTCAACCTCGTTTTTTTGGTACAAGATTTTATTGTAAAGTTGTAATACCTTTGCCTGCTCATATGTTTGCACGATTACCACAAGAATTAAAAGATGGTGGATCTATTCGTATTGTACCAGTTGTATTTAATATCGGTATTGATCATCGAGCATCATTTGCACGACTAAAAACGTTAGTAATAACAAATAAAAAATCAACAAAAATTGCTTTCTTTTTTTAGGTTAAATTTTTTTTCAACAACACAAGTCGAAAATGATCTTAATTATAAGAATTTCGATAAACTCAAAGCGTTTGTTAATAGTAGCATTAATAATCTATCAGGTATATATAACATAGTAATTAACAGGAATATATAAATATTTTATTTATAGAGGATATACCTGATTTAATGAAACTATTAGAACATACAATGTATTCGAACAAACCAAAAAACGTTGATATTTTTCCGCTTGCTGAAAAGGTAAGAGTTTTTTTATAAATTCTTCTTTTTTTAATTTTAATTTAGATCTGTCGTCGTGCATATGGTATACGAGTGACTGGTTGTAAAAGTGCTAAAGATCGTACATCTATGGGTTTTACATTAGAACAAGGACAATTACTTGTCAATAACCATAATGTTGATCACCACGAACTACAAGATATTCTTAATCAATTTCGACGTAATGGTACATCAATTGAGAATGCACTTGCTAATACAGGAATTAAAGCATATGCGTTTTCAAAAGTACAGTTAATGACATTCCCAGAATATTATCGTGCTCAACATGGCACTTATGGTAATGTTCAAACATGATTTCGAACAAAAACAAAACTATAATTGTAAATTTTGTTTTATTCACGCTTATAATATAGTTAGTATTCAGCTGTCAAATAAAAAAAAATATTTGATTTATTTTTAAAAATTAAAACATAAGTTTATAATCTTGCTGAAATTATTTAAGTTAGTGTTTATTACGAATGTCATTTTTTAAATCAGAAATTGTTTGTTGATGAATTAATCGTTGACGATTTGTAGTAAAAGTTGAAGTATAAATACAGCAATAAATAATGGATACAATGAAAACACCAACAATAATTACAATGAGAATTAAATAAAAGAGATCCTGCATGTGAAAAATCATGATTTATTGAAATCAGTATATTTATGGTTGGTATTGACTATTCTACTTTGAATGATTTTTTTTACATTCGAATCATTATTTTCACATTTTGTTACTTGATGATGAGTAATCGATATAAACAGACCTTCAATGACTTTTTTTACATGATGTTAAGAATATTGATATTTTGATTCCAGCTACATTCATCGGTCTAGTCTCTTTTATTTCATATTAGCATGGAGTAGAATGAATTTAGATGAAGGGTGTGGGTGAGGGTGTGAGATTTAAGGGTAGAGGATGACACCCACACCCACACCCTCAAGGTGACATTCATTTTCAAGCAGCTATATAAAGTCCAATATATTCATCGTAGTAGTCCTGAAAAATGAGATAGATTTTAATGCTTACTGACTTTTTTACTCAAACTTTCCCTTCTATTGGAAGGGAAACCGAATAAATCATGTCTCTGTCGAGATTCTAGGATGTTACAAACACGTTCCATCTATGTTGTTAACTGTTGGTATTTGATTTCTCCTAGATGTCAAACACATGATTTAACAATATCACAACTTCATTGACATTTAATTGTTGTTTGGACATGTTTTTTGTTTTTTAACGATTGTCAACAGACATGCATTTTAACGGTGACAGTGTGCAGACGATGGTGCTCTTACTTAGTGTAACTTTTTGCTTGATTCTCACCCTTACATATGGGCGAGTTTTAGTTTACGATACGAAAAACAAGCAAGAAGTTGAAA